TTTCAGACTGGAAAGAGACACCCAATAGAACATCTTGAGGCCATGTGGTCTGTAACACATCACAACTTAGGAATACCACTGCTATATATACAAATAGGTTCAGACCTAGTTAGTATTTGGTTCGGAAACTGCCAAGTAGTACGATGTGCTGTAGGTTATGTTTCAGAGGAAGGCAATGGCAAACAACTTCTGTGTACTCTTTTCCCAATAAAACCCAATGAAGTTCGTAGGGTCACCATATGTCAAAAGGTAACTTGAAGACCCACATATACATGCTGAGACTACAAGAGCCACAACTATCACTTACATTGTCCTGGCTGGCTGAAGTGAAGTAAGGCTTCAAACTACAATGGCTTCAAACTACAAGAAAGGAGATTCCATCTGAACATGAGGAAGAACGTCCTGACTGTGAGAGCCGTTCAGCAGTGGAACTCTCTGCCCCGGAGTGTGGTGGAGGCTCCTTCTTTGGAAGCTTTTAAACAGAGGCTGGATGGCCATCTGTCAGGAGTGCTTTGAATGCAGTGTTCCTGCTTCTTGGCAGGAGGTTGGACTGGATGGCCCATGAGGTTTCTTCCAACTCTATGATTCTATTATTCTAAGGCACTGTCTACACTGTCAGTATGAGAAAAGTCCGGGTGAGAATTTTGTAGCTCTTCTTGTTGGATTGCAACTCCTAGTATTCTTTATTATAGACTACAGTAGCTACGACTGCTAAGAGCTGGGGCTTAGGAATACCTGGAAGGCTGTATGATTCCCATCGCCAGACCATGAGAGTTAACTATAAAAGAAAATTCAAAAGGAAGTTAAGAGTCATAGAAAGTGGAGAAAGGCTGGCATTTGGAGATCCTGAGATTTAAAAATGATGCTACATGTGATCCATTAACTCCAGCAAAATGAACCCCAACAACCAAGCAACCAACTGTTGTTGTCTTTTTGTTTGGCTTTGATGCAACATGATTCGTGCCTGTTGAGTTGAAATAAAAGTGCCTGCAGTGAAATATCGGATGGGTGGTGAGGAACAGTCATGTGTTTCCATTCATGGAGCTGTTGCCTTGCAGATCTTGAGAGATTCCTTCAATTTCTCAATAATCCCTAAGCTGACTTGGGCTGATGGGAACTGAAGTCTAAGCATATGGAGAGCCATTAGTACCCCAATCCTTAGCAGATAGGATTACTCGGTTGTACCCTGTAGATTCGCTGCTGTGGTTGTTTATTGTGCTGAAGAGTCAACCTTGACTTACGGAAGTCCTTTTTGAGGTTCTTCTGGGCATGATTTTATCAAAGGAGGTGCACCCTTGCCTTCCTCTGAGACTTGAGAGAGGTCGTCTGGTGGGTTTTCATGGCCAAGCAATGATTCCAACCTTGGTCTCCTCAAATTCTAGTCCAACGCTCAACCCACTAAACCGCACTGACTCACACTGCCTATGTTTAACCTTCCTTAAATGCCCAATAAGGCAGAATTATGAATCAGCTGCAGCTCCTCGTGCCCATTCTCTCCGCACCCAACCCCACCTGTGCCACTGCCCACCTCTGCTCTATGTATCGCATGGCACACCTCAAGTCAACAGGAGTAGTCAGAAGCCGCAGAAGCCTGCCTTCTGCTCCGGGGGGTATTCAAGGTACAGTAATAAAACTTATAGCATTGAAACATCTATATAGCAGCTTCGAGTCTTGCAAAGCCTCTCCCAAAGCAGAGAAAAAAGGTCAGAAGCTTCTTTAAGGTTAATGGCGGGCAGTTGCTGCACTTTGATAAAGGTTAAGATTGTAGTGTTATTGTATGCATTTCCACCTTATGGTGACCCTGTCACATCTTGACAAAATTGGTTCGGGGAAATTTGCCGTTGCCTTCCTTGACTCACTCAACACCAACTATGCGTTTCCATGACTGAGAGGAGATTCGAACCCTCATCTCCAGAGCATCTAGATCCAGGGAACCCATGCTACCCCTCTATTCTGCCTTAGTTAGACCACATCTGGAATACTGTGTCCAATTCTGGGCACCACAATTGAAGGGAGATGTTGACAAGCTGGAAAGTGTCCAGAGGAGGGCAACTAAAATGATCAAGGGTCTGGAGAACAAGCCCTATGAGGAGCGGCTTAAAGAGCTGGGCATGTTTAGCCTGAAGGCTGAGAGGAGACATGATAGCCATGTATAAGTATGTGAGAGGAAGTCATAGGGAGGAGGGAGCAAACTTGTTTTCTGCTGCCTGGAGACTAGGACGTGGAGCAATGGCTTCAAACTACAAGAAAGGAGATTCCATCTGAACATTAGGAAGAACTTCCTAACTGTGAGAGCCGTTTAGCAGTGGAACTCTCTGCCCCAGAGTGTGGTGGAGGCTCCTTCTTTGGAGGCTTTTAAACAGAGGCTGGATGGCCATCTGTCGGGGGTGCTTTGAATGCAATTATCCTGCTTCTTGGCAGGAGGTTGGACTGGATGGCCCATGAGGTCCAACTCTATGATTCAGTGCTCAAAACATATTGTCTCTGTCTTCTGTTTATCACAAGGGAGAGAGTTAACTTTGGAGAAGTTTATTACGGAGATCACGCTACATAAAGGAAAGCAGGTTGATATGATGCAGGTTGTTATAATAATAAGGAGAGTATAAACCTTTTTTTATTATTTGCATACAAAACAGGATCCTTCAGGGCAAAAGACAGCATTATGTCTTATGTCTTGAATTACCACGGCGTCGAAACCATACATAGATACTGGAACTGCATTGAACCAAAAAATTACCATAGGTTTGTCTTTTTGAATCAGGTTCATTCTTGTATAATTTTTGCATCTGAAATGGGCCTAAGAAGGACGTAGTTGAACAGAATCCATCAGAAAGTTCTCTAGCACAACTCTAAGGCTAATCTTACTATCACACAGTATGTGGAGGGCATCTCGGGCATCAAATGTCTGTTGTCATGAGGGGACAGAAAATGTTTAGTTGTTTAATACATTATTGTTACGCTTGTAATGTCTGTGACGGGGAGAATTGGGATGTTTTATAATTTGCCTTGCTTTATATCATTTGAGTTTATCTTGGGTCAAAAATCACCAGACCCTGTTTGATCTTGGATGCTAAGCAGGATCAGTCCTGGTTAGTATTGGGATGGGAGACTGCTTTCGGGACAGGGCAATAAAGCAGCAATAGGAAAGATTACCAGGCCAATTAGATTTGACGTGGATGACTAGGATGGTTTTAAATGGTGCATTTTAATATTTTGATTAATGTTTTTAATGTTTATGTATGTATATAAGAATTTCTGTCCCGGCATTGAATGTTTGCCGTATATATGCTGTGCTCTGCCCTGAGTCCCCTTCGGGGTGAGAAGGGCAGAATATAAATCTATATAAATAAAAATGTAATTTTCGTTTGTGGTATTCACAGAACTCAAAAACCACAGGGGTAATTGACACCAAATTTGGACACAAGACACCTAACAACCCAATGTATGTCCTCCACTAAAAAAAATTGAATTTGTCATTTGGGAGTTGTAGTTGCCGGGCTTTATAGTTCATCTATAATCAAATTGCATTCTGAACCCCACCAACGATGCTATTGAACCAAACTTGGCACACAGTTCTCCCATGACCAACAGAAAATACTGGAAGGGTTTGGTGGGCAGTGTCCTTTGGTTTTGGAGTTGTAGTTCACCTAAATCCAGAGAGCACTGAAGACTCAAACAATAATGGATCTGGACCAAACTACACAAATACTCAGTATGCCCAAATGTGAATACTGGTGGCGTTTGGGGAAAATTGAGAGTTGTACTTGCTAGGATTTATAGTTCACCTACAATCACAGAGCATTCTGAACCCCACCAACAATAGAATTGGGCCAAACCTCCCACACAAGAACCCCCATGTGGGCCATAGCAACGCATGGCAGGGGACAGCTAGCGTTTAAAATAAATAAATAAATAAATAAATAATACCAGGTGCTGTCACTCATATTTCAGTAGAAGGAACTGGCAAACTATCTCTGAGTATTTGTTGCCTAAGAAAACCCAATGAAATTCATGCCGTCACCATAAGTGATAGGCAACCCTGAAGTCCCTGAGCCAGAATGGGGGAAGGCACCCTGTGTAGCTCAACTTTAGATAGCAAAATGTCTTGTGTTGGTACTTTTTTAGTAAGAAACATACCATATTGCCTTCTCTGTGAATTGCATTCTGTGTTAAATCAGCACATATGGATGAGGAGCCACAGTTGAAGAGTGAAGGATATGGGCAGGGACCTGATGGGAAATAAGGCTAGAGTGAGGATGTTGGGTAACTTCTCCAAGGCAGGAGTTTTGCAAGCTTTTCTGAACGCCTGGCCTCATCTCTTCAGCAAAAATACCACAGGGATTCTAACTCGGAAAGTGTCTGGCTTATTCTGACGTAGTTTTAGCAAACGTAGGAGCCTCTCTCCATCCTTTCTGGGCATGGCCTGGATTTGAATGTTTCTCCCTCGTTTCTGAACATTGGCCATATCCACCCACAATCGTTTAGCATCATTTCCAGACTCCCTTGTTCCCTCTCCTCCAACGTTTCTCGTGCTGTACAGCACACTGTAGGCTTGCCTGTGTTGATTTTACCAACGCTTGCTGTGGTGTTGCCAGAAGGAAGACTGTGGCAAGCCTGGGGAGCCTTGAGATGATGCAGAAATAATTTGCACAGGGCGGCATATTAGCAGCAACAGGAGCCACCGCCGCGGCAGGCCTGGAGGGAACTTTCAAGCTTGGTTAAAGTGCTGAACCCTGTGGGCCCCACCCAGCTGGGAAGTCAGTTTCCGGAGCTGCCACATAATCTTGGTGCTTTTGAATGCTCTATTTTTAGGGCGGCTTTCAACTGATTCAGGAACACACCGCTTGCCCTTGGCCCCCTGGTCTGGCAGAAGGGGTGGGCAAAGCCCAGACAGGGCCACCTTCCTAATTCCTATTAGAGGGGCTGTATCAACAACTGAAGCAAAAAGCGGTGGATCAGAGAGAGGTAATAACCCTTTCCTGTTTTGTTTTTTCCTACAGAGAGACTCTGGCAACAGAACACATATGATGCCACATGCAAAACCCTCTTCTGGACTGGCCCGTCTCTGGTGAGTCTCTCCTTTTGCTCCTACGGTACTCTTGGCTACAGTTTTTAGAACCGATCCTTTGAAGCAGGCTTGTGAGAGCCTCGCCATCGTATGACAGGACATGCCCCAGATGGACTTCCTTCTCTCCTCTCTCCCTGCAGGGCTTTTGCCTTGATTCTTCACCCCACCTTTTCAGGTGCGTGCAGCTGGTCACTTTTGCATAGCACTAATGTTCCTTCAGTTAACCTCAGACAGCAGCCACTTCCATCAGAAGTTAGAAATGGACTATAAGTCCCAGAACGTCCTAGCCAGCTTCCAGAAGTTGTAGTACCGAAACTTTCTCAAACTCTAGGTTAATGTCCCTACATTGCCACTCATAGTCTGCAAGGGGTATGAAGTTCCCTCCAGGCCTGCCGTGGTGGTGGTTCCTATTGCTGCTAATATGCAGTCCTTTACAAATGAGAAAGTCCTTGCCATTTGTCCAAGGTCACATAATAATGATAATAATAATAATAGTAATGATAATGATGATGATGATGATGATGATGATGATGATGATTATTATTATTATTATTCCACAATCGTGTTGTCTGGTGTAATGTTTTCCCAGACTGACAAAGTTTTGGAACACAATACACCAGACATCACGATTGTGGAAAAGAAAAAAGTCTGAATTATTGACGTCATCATACCAGGTGACAGCCGCATTGAGGAAAAACAACAGGAAAAACTCAGCCTCTATCAAGACCTCAAAATCAAACTGCAAAGGCTCTGGCATAAACCAGTATAGGTGGTCCCAGTGGTCATCAGCACACTGGGTGCCATGCCAAAAGATCTCAGCCGGCATTTGGAAACAATAAACATTGACAAAATCACAATCTGTCACCTGCAAAAAGACCACCTTACTTGGATCTGCGCATATCATTTGAAAATACATCACACAATCCTAGACGCTTGGGAAGTGTTCGACTTGTGATTTTTTGATACGAAATCCAGCATATAGATCTCATTTGCTGTGACATACCGTGCTTTTGTGTCAGTAAAATAATAATAATACTTTATTTATAACCCGCCCTCTCTCCCTGAAGGGACTCAGGGCAGTGTCCAAAATATAACAGAAGTGGAAAACATTCAATGCCAGAAATAAACAGACAGTAAACAAGACAAAACAGCAATAAACTCAATATATAAACAACCAAAATTAAACCAATAATACACCAAATAAACATAATATAACATAAAGAGTAAAATCAATTGAAACATAATACGTTAAAAACATAATATATCACATATATTATATTGTATAATGAATACTTTTCTAGCAGAAGTAACAGAATTGCTAGAAAAGAAGTCAGCAGATCTTAAAACTTAAATAAAATTTAGTTCAGAGAAAGCCTTATGATTGTTCCATTGCCCCACGAATCCATACAAGAGTGACCTCGACACTATATACCACAAGCTTGCCTTGAAAAAGTAAGTTGTCATGCTGGAGTTCAAATTATTGACAGCACATGAACGAGGACAATCTCTGAGGCCTTTGACCCACTCCCCTTAGCAAAATATATATAATGGGGTTTCGCTCTTATGCATTTGTAGAAGAGAGGACAACGCCAGAAGCCTTTGCATGGATTGCACAAATGCCAGTTTCATCACACAGACATGACATTTGCAAATAATAATTCCTACAATTTAAACAGAAATGCAATCTAGTTCACCATAGGGTAGGGAAAACTATGACTACCTAACCCGGTTGCAGGCTGAGTACTCACTGGACAAATCTTAAATGGTAGCTTTGGGCCTCCCTTCTCCTTTCTTAAAATCAGACTTATTTATTATCCACATTTATATCTTGCTTTTCCTTCATGGTTTTCCCACTCCACAATTTATCCTCAAGGCAACCTTGTGAGATAGGTCACTGGATGAACCAATGTCACCAAGTGGATCTGCCAAGTCTCCGCTGGGAATGTAAAGTACCCAGAAATACCTCTGAGGATGCTTGCCATAGATGCAGGCGAAACGTCAGGAGAAATGCCTCTAGAACATGGCCCTATAGCCTGAAAAAAAACCCACAAGAACCTAGTGATTCCAGCCATGAAAGCCTTCGACAATACATTAGTACCCAGAAATGTCCTTTGCTTTGAAGCATTTTAACAAACCCTTTCAAGAAAACAGTTCCATACCGTGTGATTATTTATGTACTTCTTTGCATTTTGACTTTTCTGTTAAAAATTTGGTGCAGATTGTTTTAATTAGAAGGTACTGTTGTCTACACAATACATTGACAGATGTGGAGTTTTGTTTTGTTTGCAAACTCATAATTTCATCCAGAGGGGAGAAAACAATTAAAAGTCTGTGTTTTTGCATGCGAAATAAAAGCAAAGCTTTACATCTATATCCTTACCACACATTTCTAGCCAGAACATGACACTAGTGTGGAATGGATAGGCCTTCAAGAAGAGGTTGTCTTCAAAGAGAGAAGGAATTATAGTCAGATTACCATATTTTCTGGAGTATAAGACTACTTTTTAACCCAAGAAAATCTTCTCAAAAGTCAGGGGTCTTCTTATATGTGGGAGTAGTCTTACACGCAGGAATCGTCTTATACGCAAGATTCGTCTTATACGCCGGGAGTAGTCTTATATGCCGGGAGTAGTCTTATATGCCGGAAGTCGTCTTATAGAGCGGATGCTGAAACTTCCAATCCGGATTGGAGAATCTGTGGTTGCTCCATATTGTGGGTTGAGCACAAAAATGGCAGTGGCCACGTCCCTGCCATATGCAGTGACTGTATGAAAGCATTAAGGGCAACGCTGTACAAGTATGGTAGAAGAAAATCCATTCATCAGGATTCATTGACTTAATGTGGTCCCGATGGCGAGGTGAAGGGGCGCCTCACCGGGAAGGTGTAAGTGAAGGACGGAGCAAGCTGCAGGCATCCGGGGCACCCGGGGTATGGAGAAAAGAGATAGAGTGGCTCTGGGCCCAGAAAAACACACCTCTTTTACTTGTCTGGCCCGTCCTTGTATCCTATTACCGTACCTCCTCTGCGTCTCTCCTGACATTTCGCCTGCATCTGTGGCAAGCATCCTCAGAGAATGCTTCTAGAACATGGCCATATAGCCCGAAAAACCTACAACAACACAGGTCAACATTGTTACATGTATACAATCTTACAACTGCAATCAGCCCTTTGAAGGCAATCTTACAACTGCAATCAGCCCTTTGAAGGCAAACATAAGGCTGATGTGGCCCTCAGTGAAAATGAGGACACCCCTAGACTAGGCAAAGGGGAGAATGGGGGGGGGGGGGTTGGTTTTGGCTGCCTATGGCAACCTTATGAATGAGAGACCTCCAAGGCACCCAATCCTCAAAAGCTTAGGTCTTGGAGGACCATGGCTTCCATGATCGTGTCTATCCACCTGGAATGCGATCTTCCTCCATTCCTACTGCCTCCTACTTTATCAAGCATTATTGTTATTTGTTTTTTTTTAGTGAGCCTTATCTTCTCATGATATGGCCAAAATATAACAGCCTCAGTTCAGTCACCTTGGCTTCTAGAGAGATACCAGGCACAATTTGCTCAGTGACCTATTTATTTGTTTCTTTAGTTATCCATCGAAGTCTCCCACACATTTCAAATGAATTGTCGAAGTTCTTTCATGGCTGGAATCACTAGGTTCTTGTGGGTTTTTTCAGGCTATGGAGCCATGTTCTAGAGGCATTTCTCCTGACGTTTCGCCTGCATCTATGGCAAGCATCCTCAGAGGTAGTGAGGTCTGTTGGAATTAGGACAATGGGTTTATATATCTGTGGAATGGCTGGGGTGGGGCAAAGAGCTTTTCTCTGCTGGAGCTAGGTGTGAATGCTTCAACTGACCACCTTCATTAGCATTTGAAGGCCTGCCTGAGCCTGGGAAAATATCTTGCTGAGAGGTGTTAAGATGTGCCTGGTTGTTTCCTCTCTGTTGTTTTGCTGTATAGCCCGAAAAAACCCACAAGAACCATTTCAAATGAGTTGATTTTCTTCCTATCTGCTTTCTTCACTGGCCAGTTTTTGCAAACATACATAGAAATGGCTATCAAATGGACAACCTGCTCCTTGTCCCAGAGGTAGATCGCATATTGAAAAGGTAGTCTATATTTAAGCACAACATTGAGGTTAATAAACAAATCACTGTTTACTAGGAAGCAAGTGTTAACAAAATAGTGGGTTAGGTTGTTGTAGGTTTTTTGGGCTATATGGCCATGTTCTAGAAGCATTCTCTTCTGACGTTTTGCCTGCATCTATGGCAAGCATCCTCAGAGGTTGTGAGGTCAGACCTCACAACATCTGAGGATGCTTGCCATAGATGCAGGTTTTGTTTTTGTTTTTTTGTCGTGTCAGGAGCAACTTGAGAAACTGCAAGTCGCTTCTGGTGTGAGAGAATTGGCCGTCTGCAAGGACGTTGCCCAGGGGACGCCCGGATGATTTGATGTTTTATCATCCTTGTGGGAGGCTTCTCTCATGTCCCCACATGCGGAGCTTGAGCTGATAGAGGGAGCTCATTCTCCTCTCCTCAGATTCGAACCTGCAACCTGTCGGTCTTCAGTCCTACCGGCACAGGGGTTTAACCCACTGTGCCACCGGGGGGTCCATAGATGCAGGTGAAACGTCAGGAGAGAATGCTTCTAGAACATAGCCGTATAGCCTGAAAAACCTACAACAACCCAGTGATTCCAGCCATGAAAGCCTTCGATAATACATTAAAATAGTGGGTTCCAACAGCCTTCTAGGTTAGGGCAATGTTATTGCACCCATACGGCAAGGGTAGTGCAAATTTTGGGAAAAGCAGTGCTTTGGACACAGCCAAGCCTTCTTAGTGATGAGCTTTCCTGGTTTGCAATGCAGCCTTTGCAGTGGGGCCCAGAGAGCTTGGCTCAGCCGGTGTTCCTATTGCCCAGTGAGCAATCTGGTCTCACTCCAATGAGCCCCAAACTGCTTTGCCAGCCCTTTTTCAGCCACCTGAAGACAGATCACACAGTGGTTACCCAATATATGCATATGTACACCCACACCCACACAAACTTGCAAGCTAGTACAACTTCCAGGGTGGGGTGTTGTTTAATATATGCGAAAAAGGCGGCATCTCAGGTCACCAAGAGTCAACGGATGCTTGGCTTTTAGGGCTAGAGACAAACAATCTGTTATGCATTATTGCATTTAGTTACTTTAAAAACCAAAAAATGCTGTGGGAAAGGGCGGAGGTGTCAGGGCCAGGACCACCTGGGTAGGGAAGGGGAAATAAATGTTTCCTCCTGGTTGGAAGTTCGGACTAAAAGTACTGTCTTGTCTTGCAACGAATTGAGACAAGTTACTACACTATGCAACACAATTTATGTTCCTGGGTTATAAATGTCATTTCCTAATTGATTCTATCATAAAAACATGGAAAAAGTTTATTACACTGCCAAAACGTTGTTTTTGCGGGACATCCTGCAGCACATTTTGCTATAGTTTTTCAATGAACCTCTCATAGAGTCTCAACCACTTCAACAGACTTTGTAGCGGCTACAAAAACCAAGTTTCTGGAATATGACAACTACTTTCAAAGCAAGTACCTTACAATTAAAGAGGAAATAACACTTTTAAACCAGGAACAGATTTTTTTTCAAATTTTGTTATTTATTTATTTACTAGCCGTCCCCTGCCACACGTTGCTGTGGCCCACGTACGGGTTCTGTATGGGAGGTTTGGCCCAATTCTATCATTGGTGGGGTTCAGAATGCTCCGTGATTGTAGGTGAACTATAAATCCCAGCAACTATAACTCCCAAATATCAAGATTCTATTTTCCCCAAACTCCACCAGTGTTCACATTTGGGCATGGAGTATTCCTGTAGAGTTTGGTCCAGATCCATCATTGTTTGAGTCCACAGTGATCTCTGGATGTAGGTGAACTACAACTCCAAAACCAAAGGACATTGCCCACCAAACCCTTCCAGTATTTTCTGTTGGTCATGGGAGGACTGTGTGCCAAGTTTGGTTCAATTCCATCCTTGGTGGGGTTCTGAATGCTCTTGGGTTGTAGGTGAACTATAAATCCCAGCAACTACAACTCCCAAATGACAAAATGATTTTTTTTTTAGTGAAGGACATACATTGGGTTGTTACGTGTCTTGTGTCCAAATTTGGTGTCTATTCGTCCAGTGGTTTTTGAGTTCTGTTAATCCCACAAACGAACATTACATTTTATTTATTTATTTATTTATTTATTTGTTTATTTATTTAGATAGATAGATAGATAGACAGACAGACAGACAGACAGACAGACACACACACACACACACACACACACACACACACAGAGTTACATTACATTTTTATTTATATAAATTTACGACATTTATATGCTGCCCTTCTCACCCCGAAAGGGATTCAGAGTGGCTTACAATGTATATATACATGCAATATATTATCAGCATAGTACAATATTCGTTTTAAATATTGCTATATTGTACTATATCAATTATATTGTAATATTATTAGTAATATTACATGTAATATAATATATAATTATAATATCATATTATTAGCATTATATTGCATTACATTATAATATTATAAATATTATATGTATATACAATATATATTATATTATATTATTAGAATATATATATATTATATTATATTATTAGAATAGCACTTGTGATGTTACTTATTGTTATTATTATTACTCAAAGCTAACAATCCCACACTTTGTTCATAGTTTATAAAGCACAACACAAAAATTAAATAATACAGTGTGGATTAAGGTAAAACATAAATTAAAATATAACAATACACTTAAAACAGCCTCACCCACCCCTACCAGCAGCATGCCCCTTATTCTTCTGCTGCCAGAAGATGTTGTCCTAACTGCAAAATGATGCTTTGCTTCCAGTACAGAGACCAGTTGGGCCAGAACCAACTGTTTCGCCTGCATCTGTGGCAGACATCTTCAAAATGACTGTATTTGTACCTCTTGCTGCTTCCATTCCCATCCTTCTTTAGCTGGTTTGCAGCTAGGAGGAGAGCTTGGAGACTGGACATGGATATAGCCAAACATTTCCCTCCCGGCCTGCTAATGTTGACAGGTCCAGGGATGTCATGATGCCACCTGCCTCGCTATGTGACGATGACTCTTCTTTTTCCTCTTTTTCTTCCAGCCAACTGCCAAAGGGGTTCCCCTGGATGTCTCTCCATTGTGCCGCTGCCAGCTGGGGTTCCTGGTGATGTGATTTTATTTTGGTGCTTAGAATCACATTGCCAGGGATTTCCAACCATCAGTGAGCTACCGCACCTGAGAAGTGAGACTGAGGACGAGACGGAGAAGTAGGTTAGGCTCTCTTGCTGCACCAGAAGGTGGTAAAAAGCATGTGCGTATAAAGCAGCCTACTTCACACAGATGCCGTAAAAATACAAAAAATCATTAACATCTTTACTTGGCTATTTTTTGTTTTTGTTTTATTTTGTTTCGTTTTGTCCTTGGATCCTCCTCCCTCCTGTTACAAAAGAAACATGATTTGGGGAATTATGTGACTTGACTTGATGGGGAAAGCTGGGGGCCATATTTATGGGAATACAATGTCCCAGGGTAGTGAGGAAAGACCTTTTTTCAGATGACAAGCCGCAGGGCTTAGCCCACCTGTGAACAGCATTGGATTCAGCCATGTTCACAGTGGCTAAGTTCCGCTGCTTGGAGTTCATTATCTTCACACCAAATACTTTCCCTCCAAGAAAGGATCCCAAGGCAGCCGACTGATCCAAAGAGCCACCAGGATAGTTCTGGAAGGATGAAACCAGGTTTGAATTGAGCTGGAGACTAAAAAGGATTGGGGGGTAGGTGGCAAATTGAGTCATGGTATTCCTGGCTTCCTCCACAGGGCTTGGCCTTCCGTGCCTACTGAGCTGATACTCAGTTGCTTTAGATAAACTGGCTCAGTTCAGCAGGAACAGGAGTCCAGCCCAGTCCATGCAAGGACTCAACTCATGGCCAAGTGCAACATACACTCTCAGAAATTGTTCACTTTTCATTCTCTCCACTTCTCCTCTGTGATGGGCGCTGCCCAGCATCCCAGTGTGTGGCTGGGAACACCGTGGCTGAACGGGTCTCTTCACTACCTCTGCAATCTCATACCTGGATGAAAGGAGCAAGCAACCAAACCCATCATAAGTCTATGCTACTTCTTCCCTTTCACCTGCAAGCATTGCTGGAGTGCCAGTTTGGGTTTTGCATTTGTAATTCTTGATGGAAAAGATTCAGATCTCACCTTGGACATGAATAAATGCTTATTTTTTAGTTGTTTCAGTCTCCTAGCTTTGGATTTTTGCTTGTTCAACAGGTCTCAAATGTGGGGCATTCTCCTGGGTTCTGATTTGTGATACTATAGTGCCTAAGGGAGACTCTGTGAAATTCATGGGGTTGCCGTCCATCAGCAGGCACACCCATACAGTATCTTGAACTGTGGTCATTTGATGGGAACATAACATTATGGCCCCTCATGTAACAACCAAGTGAACTTCTACAGCAGGCATGGGCAAATTTCGGCCCTTCCAATGTTTTGGACTTCAACTCCCAGAAACCTCAGCCAGCTCACCAGCTATTAGGAATTGTGGGGGCTGATGTCCAAAACACCCGGATGGCCGAAGTTTGCCCATGGTTGTCCTAGAGCAACAGTAAGCTTCTGTATTGTTTTTAAAGTGCGTGATTCAAGTACTGTCAACATTGAAAACCGTACCCGGAACTGATCTTCAAGCAAACCGTGAAAATTGCCATCTCCCTATCATGAAGTGTGATCATCTCCTTTTTTGTCCTGTAGATCAAGATACAGTATTATTATTATTATTATTATTATTATTATTATTATTATTATCCCAGTTTTTCTCCCACAGAGTGAATTACAGTTTTATAAGGCAAACATTCAGTGCCTTTTTACACAGTAAACAACGACATATAATAGACAGAGGTAAAGGCTTTCCTTCCATCTCCGGCATCTGGAGACAATGGTCAACTCCAGCCATAGGGAGGTGCTCTTCTTCCATTTTACCACACTGCGGAGCCTGTTGTCCATAGACTTCCTGGCATGTCTCCATGGGGTGCCCTTTTACCTCCCCGCCAAGGTGGTATCTATTGAGCTACTCACATTACATGCTTTCGAACTGCTAGGTAGGCAGAAGCTTGGGTTGACAGCCAGGAGCTCTCCCCAACTCATGGCTTCGAACTACTAACCCAGCTGATTTTCTGCAGCTAGCAGTTTAACCCACTGCGCTACTGTGGCCCCTTATCTTACAAGTGGTTGGCCACCTTAATAAATATCCTAATATACTCATGTACACATCTAGAAGTTTTAGTAAAATAATCAACCCAAAAAACTGGGCTAACTTATCCACAAGTCAATATAAATACTATACCTTTACGTCTTATCAAACAAGGACCCATTCCCTTTGCTGAGTAGAGTGGCAAGAGGCTAGAGCTTACTTCATCCTGGGAGAACATAAAGGGCACTGAATTGCTCTACTCTTTGCACCCTAGTGCCACTTCTGACCATTTTGAATTCCTGGTTGGGGAAACGGCAGCACTAGCAACAACGGACCTCTGAAGGAAGCACTGATGCTTTCCCCTCCTAGTGAAAGTACCCTTGAGTTATCCACAGGCCATATCAAAATACAAAATTTTGGGCCCAGAAACTACCCTTGACTTCCCGTATTTACTCAGGTATAATGTGCCATCAAATCTAATGTAGCCCAATGTAATTTAGCCCAAAAGGGTGCACATTAGACTCGAGTAAAAATGGTATATAGGAAGTTGAGTTGTACATGATTATATACAGTAGCCTGTTTTCAGGCAATTGCATTCCTTCAAACTGCTCACTATGCAGTGGTTCTCAACCTGTGGTGGTTCTCAACCTGTGGGTCCCCAGATGTTTTGGCCTTCAAATCTCAGAAATCCTAATAGCTAGTAAACTGGCTGAGATTTCTGAGAGTCGTAGGCCAAGCACCTGGGGACTCGCGGGCTGAGAACCACTGCCCTATAGGATGACTGATCGCCTGCTTCCCTCACCCCGGATATATGCTAAAATGAAATGAGAGGCCTATTCAAACTACACATTTATACTAGTACTAGCTGTACCCGCCACACGTTGCTGTGGCCAACCTTCCCTCCCTCTTTCTGTCCTCCTTTCTTTCTCTCCTTCCTTCCCTTTTTTCTTACCTTCTCTCCTTCCTTCCTTCTTTTCCTCTTCCCTTCCTCCCCCCCTTTTCTTTCCCTTTTGCTTTCTCTCCTTTCTTCCTTCTCTACCAATTCTTGGACTGCAACTCTCAGCAGTCCTCCTGATTGATCTCTCTACCTACCTATCTATCCCTAGCTAATCTATCTATCTAGAGGATTGCTGGGAGTTGGAATCCGGAAATTTGAAAAATGCAGGGATTAGGATGCTCTCAAAGAAATCCAATGAGAAGAAACCTTGCATCTTGGAAGCAGTGCATTTGGATCATCCTCTCCTAAAGGGCCTGGATGCTGGGAGCTGTAGTCCAGAAGAGAGTGAGGATATGCTATTGTGTGTTTTGTATGTCGGGGGAGTCCTTTTTGCACAGGCGCTGTAGCATCTTTTTGCTTTTTTTGGCTTTTTAAGTCCCTTCCACTGTGTTTTTCAGTGTTTTGATGAGTGATGGTCACTCATTGGCCTGATAGGTATATTGTGTGCAAATTTGGTCCAATGGTTTTTGAGTTATGTTAATCCCACAAATGAACATTACATTTTTATTTATATAGATGACTAGCCGTCCCCTGCCACATGTTGCTGTGGCCCACTCTGGTGGTCATGGGGGTCCTGTGTGGGAGGTTTTGCCCAGTTCTATCGTTGGTGGGGTTCAGAATGCTCTGTGATTGCAGGTGAACTATAAATCCCAGCAACTACAACTCCCAAATGTCAAGATTCTATTTTCCCCAAACTCCACCAGTGTTCACATTTGGGCATATTGAGTATTCGTGTAGGGTTTGGTCCAGATCCATCATTGTTTGAGCCCACAGTGATCTCTGGATGTAGGTAAACTACAACTCCAAACCAAAGGACACTGCCCACCAAACCCTTCCAGTATTTTCTGTTGGTCATGGGAGAACTGTGTGCCAAGTTTGGATCAATTCCATCATTGGTGGGGTTCAGAATGCTCTTTGATTGTAGGTGAACTATAAATCCCAGCAACTACAACTCCCAAATGAAAAAATCATATATATTTTTGAGTGAAGGTCATACATTGGGTTGTTAGGTGTCTTGTGTCCAAATGTGGTGTCAATTCGTCCAGTGGCTTTTGAGTTCTCATAATCCCACAAACGAACATTACATTTTTATTTATATAGATTCCGCTAACACTGCCATGGCTCCATCCTATGGAATTTTGGAATTGGTCATTTGGGGAGCAGTTCTCAAACCTTGCTCCTCCAAATATTTTGAACTTCAGCTCCCAAAATTCTTGACTGTTGCCCAAGCTGCCTGGGACTTCTGGGAGTTGAAATCCAGAACACCTGGAGAAGCAAGGTTTGGGGTCCACTGCACTAGAGAAACTAGCAAACAATTCTAAATAGCCCATTGGGCTTTTTAGGATTTTACGGAAGCAAAGATACTCCACAAGTGAAATCCTTGTGTTATAACGTATTGTGAAAGGGCCCCAGGTGTTCCACTGAACTCAGCAGGACATTCCCACCCACCTGGTGAACACCTGAGGTTGATCTTCCCTTTGCATTTTGCCCGATTGGCTGCTCCTGCCTCCGCAACCACCCCATGCGCTTTGTCAGCAAGCCCAGGCTTCGATAGCAATTAAGGGATTACGGGGGAGAAAGGGAGTGGTGCCAAGGGTCCCACCCTGCTCTGCGTCATGCCACAGCTGCCAGCGTTCAACCCAAGAGGGCCCCTTTGCCCACACCCCTGCCCATAGGTGTGGAGTGGCAGAGTCGGAATGTCAACGCATGAATATGCAACAGGGAAGGGCTAATGGGGAGACGGATGCACACAATCACACAAGCAGGTCAAGGAAGGGCAAGGGGCTTCTAAGTGCAGAATATACCCATTCTTGAACAAAGTCCTCTTTACCATATGTAACAAAATTTGGGGGGGGGGGGGAATCTGTTCCTGGTTTGAAAGTGTTCTTTCCTGTTTAATTGTGCGGTACTTACTTTGTAAGTAGATGTTATACTCCAGAAACTCCATTATGGGGCTACCTCAAACTATAATAATAAACACAACATACAAACTATCTACAGATCCACCAAGAAAATCCAACAACTGCTATGTTCAGTAAAGGACAAGAAGGATCCTTTCACTTCTGCAGGATTAGATTTTTGTGAAGACAAGATAATGTTTTACAAAGTTAATATATATGAAGAGGCAAGGGGGCCAAGAGTGTCCCCCTTTTTTGTGCGCATGGGGCTGGGGGGCAGGCTGTGTCCTGGCTTGGCTCCCCTTGGCCCTTAGTGTTGGTGGAGATATTGGTGTGTTGCACAGCTCCACTTTGGAGCCAGCTAGTCGGTTAGTTTTAAAGTTTGGGGTTTTATTTCTTTGTTTTTTCCTGTATTACAAACAAACAAAATCCTGTAATTTTGTAATTTTTTTCTATTTATTGAATCATTTATTGTATTATTTTGTAAAAGGTTTAACATAAATCTCAATGTTTGGTTTTTCTTTTCTTTTCTGGTTTCTCTTTTGGACATGTGGGTTTTATTTCTCAGTTTGTTCATTGCCTCTTTAAAAACTTTGGACTCATCTAAGGCAGCTCCATTCACACCACTTTGACT